CACACACACACTCACACACTCACACACTCACACACACACACACACTCACACACACACACACACACACTCACACACGAATAGAGCTTTAATTACAGTCTGCAGCTGGATCAATCCATCCCGTCCCGCAGGAAACGACTGTGGTTTTCATCAGTTAGTGTTCTTTAAGTGTTCGTTTCGGCCATTACTCTCACCACTGTTTGTCACCACAAGGTTTTTTTGTTTTGATGTTTTTCAGCTTCTTTTGATTGCATTCACGTATCCACACAGAAGCTCTTACAAAACCTAGTGAGCCGCCTATCTAGACAGCATTTCAAGTGTCTTATACATGAATGCTGTCCTGAAAGATACTTCAGTTCTGGCAGTGCAAGGCAGAATCGGATGTATCATTCATAACGAGAATCCCAGAGTGCATTGCAAAAATGTCTTTACATATTGAAAAATATAGATTTTTTTATACCATATATTTCTGTGCTTTGTATTCTGGGGTCAGTAAGATTTTTGTAATTAATTAATTAATTAATTAATCATTTTAGTTTGACCATTGAACTGAATGGCATAGAAATAATTGTTCGTTTTATTTTATTTTACACTATTAACATTTTCTTCAAACATACTTTTTGATCTTGTCCTACAGCTTTTATTAGATTTTCTCCAAAATAATTTTTATTATTTATAGCTTTTTGTCGCACCAAACCGTTGGAAAGTTACTCAAGTTACTCAGATTGATACTTTGTAACTCAAGAACGCATTAAATTGATCAAAAGTAACAGTAAAGACATTTATAATGTTACAAAATATTCTCAAATAATTGCTGTTCTTTCGAACTTTCTATTCATCTGTGAATCCTGAAAAATAAAATGCATCACGGTTTCCACAAAAATATTGTGCAGCACGACTGTTTTCAACATTGATAATAATCAGAAATGTTTCTCGAGCAGCAGATCAGCATATTATACTGATTTCTGAAGATCATGTGACACTGAAGACTGGAGTAATGATGCTGAAAATACAGCTGCACATCACAGAAATACATTACAGTTTAACACATATTCACATAGAAAACAGCTATTTTAATTATTAATAATATTTCACAATTTTTACTGTATTTTTTATCAAATAAATGCAGCCTTGGTGAGCAGAAAAGACAAAAACATTGAAAAATTGTATCAAACCCAGTAAACCTTTGGTTGCTAGTAGGATGCTGTCTATGTAGACTGTAGACAGTGATGCTCACTAGGTTCTGAAACAGAGCGAGTGTGTTTTCTGTCAACCACAGTGGCTCAGTAAGACACGAGGTGTGATGGGAAATGATCCGTCTCAGTTTGAGGACAGTTTGAGCCAATCTGACGCCGTCGACCAGAGAGTCCTTGACTCAAGAATACAGGAGTGAAGATTTGTGACGGATGATCCCTGACCCCCGTTTGACCCCCGTCTCACACATACACACACTCACACACGCACACACACACACACTCACACTCACACACACGGCAGCCTTGGTGAGCAGAAAAGACAAAAACATTGAAAAATTGTATCAAACCCAGTAAACCTTTGGTTGCTAGTAGGATGCTGTCTATGTAGACTGTAGACAGTGATGCTCACTAGGTTCTGAAACAGAGCGAGTGTGTTTTCTGTCAACCACAGTGGCTCAGTAAGACACGAGGTGTGATGGGAAATGATCCGTCTCAATTTGAGGATAGTTTGAGCCAATCTGACGCCGTCGACCAGATTGTCCTTGACTCAAGAATACAGGAGTGAAGATTTGTGACGGATGATCCCTGACCCCCGTTTGACCCCCGTCTCACACATACACACACTCACACACGCACACACACATACATACACACATGCGCGCACACACACACACGCACACACACATACATACACACACGCACACACACATACACACACACACACACACACTCACACACACGCGCACACACACTCCTGATGTGCTTCTGCACGACTTTGAGCGTCCAGCTACAAAAGCCCGCAGACACCTCAGAGGAAGGGTCACGAGGAATTAATTAAAGTTCTTCCTCTCGCTCTCGTCTGTCAGTTTCCCGCTTTGATAATCCGTGATGTGGACACACACTCTTGTTACCCGTCACCTTTAATCTGGCACGACTGAAATGCCCTTGAAAGCTGAGGGAAGTTGAGCGATCAGTGTCAGAGGAGCAGCGAAGAGACACGTCTGTGACCGGAGACATGAGAAAACACTTATTAACACTGCGACTCCTGCGGACAAACCGTCTTCAGTACAGTAAACTAGGAGCCAATCAAACGCTTCTCCATTTATATAGTTATAATGGAGGGAACAAGTGCCTGCTCACTTCAGATCAGCGCTGTTATTTCCTGAAGTATTTTTTCCATTCATTTTTCCAAAAAGGTTTTTACAAAGTCTTCATTAAAGCATTAGAAGCCTTGACCCAGACCAGCCAGATTCAAGGAGAATCACAGCATTACAAACTTTGATTTGAAGCAACAAAGCAATTGAAAATAAGACAAAAAGTCAAGATTGTGGACTTAATGGCTTTAAATGAGGGAAAAAACTGCAGTCCCACAAACAATGACTCCAAAAACAATGGAAAAATATAAAATTATATTAATATGATAAGCTATTTAAGAAAATTGCCAAATTAATCATTATTTTTACAAATATTTTCAAACTTATGTATCAAAGTGAAGAAGAACAAAATAAAACTAATTACAAACGTTGATTTGACAGATCTACAAGACTGTGAACACACGATTATTTAAAAAATAAGTTGCATTAATGCAAACTAAATAATGGCTTTAACAAAAGCACCGACCGTCGATGAATAACCTCGGAGCTCACAGCAGGTCTGTCTTTAACGGTTTGTACGTTATCATTAAAAATTGAGTTCCATCTGGAGAAAATGAATGGCGTTTTTACTTCTGGAACCCGACTGTTGTGTTCCATTTACTCAGCGCCACTCTCTGATTGGTGGAATTTTCAGTAGAGCAGTAGAGCATCATGGGTAATGTAGTTTTTCACCAGGAATAGATTCTTAAAAAAACAAAACAAAAGCATATATCAGCAATTAACAGCCTCGTAGCTCACAGTAGGTTTGTGTTTAAAGGTTTTTAAGTTATTGTTAAAATTCAAGTTCCCTATAGAGAATATGAATGGAGTTTTTAGTGCTGTATTTGTTTCCACCAGGCACCAGCACGCCACCAGGCATTGCAGCTCCCATCGGGGTGAACGGCTTCAGCGCTCTCCCTCCCCAAAGCAATGGACAGCCCGCCTCCGAACCCATCTACACCAACGGCATCCATCCGTACCCAGGTAACACGCTTACTTCACTTTCCCCTGCTTTGGATGCACAACATCTTTGGATTTGGAGCAACTCAAACAGTACTTGATCAGCATAAAACAACCAAGACTAGCACCGAAAACCAACCTTCCAGAGCTGTTTTGACACTATGAGACACATTTTAATTGAAAACATGTTCATAGCAGAGGTGTTTTCAAGCCATTGTCTGTATGAATTGCATTTACATGGACAATGTTTTTATCTAAAGCGACTTACATTGCATTAATATACATATAAGTTATACATAATATGCATTCACTGGGAATCAAAGCCATGACCTTGGCATTGCTAGTGCCATTCTAGTTTGAGCTACATGACTTGCATTTTTAGTGTTTTTCCGAATGCATTCATTGATCCTGATACAAAAATAATATGTAGGACTGAAGCACAGAGGAGTGTGTCACATTTGATCTGAATCTGTAAAAACAACAGGCGTATAGAAATGGCAGTGGCAAATGAAGGAAAGTGCTGAAATAAAATCAGACTGATATTGACAGAAGTGTGTGTCTGTGTGTGTGTGTGTGTGTGTGTGTGTGCGCGTGTGTGCGTCCGTATATCTGTCTGTGTGTGTGTGTCCCCGTGTGTGGAGACACATTTTAATTGAAAACATGTTCATAGCAGAGGTGTTTTCAAGCCATTGTCTGTATGAATTGCATTTACATGGACAATGTTTTTATCTAAAGCGACTTACATTGCATTAATATACATATAAGTTATACATAATATGCATTCACTGGGAATCAAAGCCATGACCTTGGCATTGCTAGTGCCATTCTAGTTTGAGCTACATGACTTGCATTTTTAGTGTTTTTCCGAATGCATTCATTGATCCTGATACAAAAATAATATGTAGGACTGAAGCACAGAGGAGTGTGTCACATTTGATCTGAATCTGTAAAAACAACAGGCGTATAGAAATGGCAGTGGCAAATGAAGGAAAGTGCTGAAATAAAATCAGACTGATATTGACAGAAGTGTGTGTCTGTGTGTGTGTGTGTGTGTGTGTGTGTGTGTGCGTCCGTATATCTGTCTGTGTGTGTGTCCCCGTGTGTGTGTGTCTGTGTGTGTCCGTGTCTGTGTCCATGTGTCTGTGTGCGTGTCCATGTGTGTGCGTCCGTGTATCTGTCTGTGTGTGTGTGTGTGTGTCCTCGTGTGTGTGTCTGTGTGTGTCCGTGTCTGTGTCCATGTGTCTGTGTGCGTGTCCATGTGTGTGCGTCCATGTATCTGTCTGTGTGTGTGTGTGTGTGTCCTCGTGTGTGTGTCTGTGTGGGTCCGTGTGTGTGTCCATGTGTCTGTGTGCGTGTCCATGTGTGTGCGTCCATCTATCTGTCTGTCTGTGTGTGTGTGTCCTCGTGTGTGTGTCTGTGTGGGTCCGTGTGTGTGTCCATGTGTCTGTGTGCGTGTCCATGTGTGTGCGTCCATGTATCTGTCTGTCTGTGTGTGTGTGTGTGTCCTCGTGTGTGTGTGTGCAGCGCAGAGCCCGACGATGGCCGATCCTCTCCAGCAGGCGTATGCCGGCATGCAGCACTATGCAGGTGAGTCTCTCCTGAAGTTTTTTGTGTTGTGAATTCACAATCTGACAATCTATGCATGTGTTTTCTGGATCAGCATTTCCCTCATTTGACTGCTGAAACATATGCATTATGCGATGATCAACAGTCTGCTGTCATGTGACCTCATTTAATTCAGCTGCTGGAGTCCAGTTTCATAGAAATATATGTGACCCTGCAGCACTAAGCATGAACTACAGCATTTATTAATCTTAGTTAATGTTAATTCCAACATTTACTAATGCATTATTAAAAGTTAATGCGCTGTGAATTATTTATTAGTTATTTTAGTACTACTTATGTACAATTACAGTTTTTATTAATATTTTAAATTGGTTTTTATTCCTAGTTTTCATTTTAATTTTTAGTTTAGGTTTAGTTTAACTCTGCATTCCAGTGTTATTTTAGTATTATTTATGTACTATTATTATTTTTATTAATATTTAGAATTGCCATTTGGTTTTATAATTTCAGTTTTCAATTAAATTTTAATTGTAGTCATTTTTTTGTGCTTTTGTCACTTTTTAAATATATTTTTTGTAGATTTCATTTATTTCAGCTTTAGTATTTATAGTCCTTAAACTTAAGATAAAACCATTGCTTAATGGCTTGTTTGTGAGTGTTATTTTAGTATTACTTCTGTACTGTTACAGGAATTATTAATATTTAGAATTTACTTTTTGCACATTGATTTATATTTTCATTTGAGTAATGTGTGTGCCTTTTATATTTAACTTTTTGTGTGTGCGTGTGTGTGTGCGTGTGTGTGTGCGTGTGTGTGCGTGTGTGTGTGAGTGTGTGAGTGAGTGTATGTGTGTGTGTGTGTGTGAGAGTGTGTGAGTGAGTGAGTGAGTGATTTATTTAATAAAATTTAAAAGTTTTCATTTTAATTTAGTTTTAGTAATTTGTTTTTTTATCATTTTATTATTCTTTTTTAGATTACTATTTGAGTTTAATTAATTTTTATTTCCGTTTTAGTTCTAGTTGAGTTTTAGTTTTATTCATTTCCATTTAAATAAACGTAAACATATTTTAGTTAGTTATTTCTAATGTTCGTTTAGTGTACTTTTGCTTTGTTTCAATTAACAAAAAGTTTTAGTTTTTTCGTTTTTTTAAGGTTTTTTATGATAATAGCCCTGCTGCATACAGCAAGCGTAATATTTGAATTTAACCCTCTTTAATAAAGAGGTAGACTCCCTAAAAAACACTTTTGAAAGTTTGTGGAGTTTGTGAAGCTCAGAGGAGTGTGATGATGATGATGATGATGATGATGATGATGAGCTTTATTCATGTATTCAGCGTCAGCGCTGGAAGAAAGCTGCGAGTTGATCTGTTAAGTCAGGAATATGACCGTGATTCTCTCTCTCGCTCTTTCTCTCGCTCTCTCTCTCTCTCTCTCGCTCTGGGTTACAGCAGCCTATCCTGCCGCTTACGCGCCAATCAACCAAGCGTTTCCCCAGCAACCAGCCATCATCCCCCAGCAACAGCGGGAAGGTGAGTGAGGCTCCGCCCCCTCCGCAGAACAGGTGATAATTGCTCTGAGAGACGGACGCAAAGCTCAGGAGAAATCATGAGATTATAATGACTTCTACTGTCTTTTTACACGTTGTGTTGCATTGTGCCGCGTAAACATAAAACCATTTGCATTTGTGATCGGAGAAACGACAAACAAGCACTAATCTACACTGCTCAGAACTCGCGTATGAGTCATCAGTGGCAAATCCTTTAAATATAAAAAATGTACTTACAGGCTGTGAGTCAGAACAGCCGGCATTGTAGTCTACTCTCCCAGGATCAGGACACAGTCCTCCATAAAATGTGCTGCACACATCTGAATATTTGGGTTGAAGTGTTCTGGAACAGTGTTGTAAATACAACTTAACCACTGATTTCTAGTCGTGTCCTCTTTTGGAAGACCAAACAAAGTAGTTTCGCTTTCACAATGAAACACACAGCGTCTTCACAACATGGCGGCGGCGGCAGCAACAATACTACAGCGAGAATAAAAGTTACGCCTTCTTTCTTTGTGTGCACATTTGGCCGGCGTTATGCAAATCTTCCCACATAGTGATGTAGACATGTGGGGGCGTGTCAGAACGAGGTGTTTTAGGTAGGCGTGGCTGACTCTTAACTTTTATAAAGAAGATCTCTTTGGATTTGAGACTTTAGTCTTTGCAACTTTACAGATCTTCTTTATGCACCAAGAGCTTGTAACACTCCAAAGAGAAAGGAAGACTTGAAATTGCATCATATGACCCGTTTAAAGATGTTTTGATGTGTAATCCTGACACAAATGGGAAGAAATGATCACTATAACGTTTCTGTTGTCAGATGTCATATACCTTAAGAATGACTAATAATTTGATTTAATTTATAGTTAAATCAGTTATTTTGTTTTATATTTTTTATTTTATTTATGCATTGTCTTGCTTTTATTAGATTTTTTTAAATTCATTTTTATGTTTTGTCTTTTATTTCGTTGTTAATATATTTCAGTATTATTTTAATATTTTATTTAAATTTATTATGTGAAGTTTCTGTCTGTAACCGTGCAGTAAACCAGCTCTCAGACGAGTTTCCAGGTTCATTCTGACGTACAGATGCTTCGGAGTCCTTTGTGTTTATTCAGACGTTTGTATCGAGTTAAAATGAAGCTCGTTTGTTCTTGTGGGATGCATTTTCTCAATTACATTTCTTACAGAACAGATGCTTAAACAAACACTGCAGATACAAACCTCTCAGCGGCCAAAATCTCTTTCCTCACTGACTGGTTTTATTTTATGTTTTGTATTTTGTTTTATTTGATTTTAATATTATTTATTATTTTATTTCATGTTTTCTCTTTTATTTATTTATTTTACATTTTGTCTTATTTTATTATTTATTTCATTGTTAATACTTATCATTTATTTTATTTTAATTGTAATTTTATATTTTACCAGCATTGCATTATTTAAAGTTATTTTTGTTTATATTTATTTATTTTATGTTTTGTCTTATTTTATTATTTATTTTATTGTTAATACTTATCATTTACTCCATTAGCCCTGTTTTATTTTAATAGTAATTTTATATTTTACCATCATTTCATTATTTAATGTGATGTTATGTTTTGTCTTTTGATTTGATATTAATACAAAAAAATATTGTTTTATTTTGTTTTATCTTTTTTATTTTATTTTATGTTTTGATTTGCTTTGAATGTTTTTTAGTTTTTGTTATTTTGTCTTATATTTTATCTTTTATGTTTTTTTTCTTTCTTTTATTTGATTTGATTGGTTCATTTTAAAATTATTTAATTTTGTATTTTATTTTATTATTTATTCTATTGTTAATACTTATCATTTATTCATTACAGCTGTTCTAATTTAATATTAATGCACATTTTGTTATCATTTTGTTAATGTAATTTTATGTTTTGTCTTTGATTTGATTTTAATATATTTGACTTTTTGTCTTTTTTTATTTGATTTGATACTAATTTAACATTATTGGCAATACGAGTCTGCAGTCTTTGTCGTGTCATTAAAGCGAGATCTCACACGAAGCACCGGGAGACTCTGCAGAATTATTTATGTTTATCCAATTTTCCCAAAAGCCACAACACCTTGAAAGTGCCTTCAATTCCCTTATCCACGTTTAATCAGATCTCCGTTTAACAAAGAGCTCTGAATATGTGTCTGCATGCGCGCCGCTCGGCCTTCTGGGTACGGCTCTGTGTGAAATCTCATTTGCGTGTCTTTCTCTCAGGACCGGAGGGCTGTAACCTGTTTATTTACCACCTGCCGCAGGAGTTCGGCGACGCGGAGCTCATGCAGATGTTTCTGCCCTTTGGCAACGTCATTTCCGCCAAAGTCTTCGTGGACCGAGCCACCAATCAGAGCAAGTGTTTCGGTGAGTTCCCACAATGCACCGCTTTGCCTTTATTTCCCGCGTCTGCACTAATCAAGATGCAGTTAGCGGCGGGGAAGCGCGTCACGCACGATGTGGGCATAAAAAGTGCTGTTTCAGCATTAATAATGTAATAGAATAATTCATTAGATTTTATTTCCAGTTTGAATTTTTAGTCATTTTGTGTTTTTGTCATTTTTATTAGTATTTGTTCTTTTTAAATATTACTATTTAGGTTTAATCTTTATTTCAGTTTTAGTTTTTATTTGTGACCCTGGAGCACAAAACCAGTCATAAGTGTCAATTTTTTTAAATTGAGCTGTATGCATCATCTGAAAGCTGAATAAATAATCTCTCCATTGATGTATGGTTTGTTAGGATCGGACAATATTTGAAAATCTGGAATCTGAGGGTGCAAAAAAATCTAAATATTGAGAAAATCATCTTTAAAGTTGTCCAAATGAAGTTCTTAGCAATGCATATTACTAATCAAACATTAAGTTTTGATATATTTACGGTAGGAGATTTACTAAATATCTTCATGGAACATGATCTTTACTTAATATCCTAATGATTTTTGGCATAAAAGAGAAATGTATAATTGTGACCCATACAATGTATTGTTGGCTATTGCTACAAATATCCCCCAGCGACTTAACACTGCTTTTGTGCTGCAGGGACACATTTATCTCCAGTTAATCATTTTAAATGGCAATTTGAGCATTTCAACCAACTTTTCTGCAAGTTTTTTTACTTTAACAAAAAAAAAGTTTTTAATATTTTTAGTTTTGGCTTAGTTTAGTTTGTATTCATCTTATTTCAGTGAGTTGCCAAAGCCTTTTTAAAAATATTTAATATCTCTAATATTTATCTTTATTTCTATTAACAAAAATGTTTTTAAATAGCGTTAGTTTTAATTCAGGTTTAGTTTTTAATTCAATTTATTTACGGTATATTTCAGTTAGTTGCCAAGGCAGCATTTTTGTTTTCTTTTTTAATTTAAGTTTTTTTTTATTTACTTGATTTCAATTAACAAAAAAGTTGTAATAGTTTTAGTTTTAGTTAAGTTTTTATTTAAACATTTCATATATATATATATTCAGCTTTATTTCTATTAATTTTTTCATCTAATATTTATTTATTTATTTATTTCAGTTTTATTTCAATTAACAAAAATGTTTTTAAAAATTTCAGTTCAGTTTTAGGTTTTTGCCTGATATTTATATCTTTTTTAAAATCTTTATTTTAATTGATTTTATGTATGCTTTATTTTATTTTAATGAACAAAAATGCTTTTAATACTTTTAGTTTTACATTTGGTCTTTAGTAAACTTTTTTTCAGTTAGTCTCCAAGGTAAATATATTTTTTTTCCTTTTTATATAAAATTTTTTCGGCTTTATTTCAATGAACAAAGATAGTTGTATTAGTTTTAGTTTATGTTTTATTAACGATAATAACCCTGGCATTAAACTTACCCAGAATGCAGTTCTCTTCGCACCTCGCAGCTGCATGGAAAGCGTGAAGTGCTTCCTGCATCATTATATTTCTCATAATGCCTTCATGTCGACGCATGCTGAGGTCTCCTTCTGCATCTTTACATTTAATCTTTATTTTCATCTCTATTCATTAAGATCTTGGCAGACAGGAGCGCGTCGTCTCGCCCGCAGCTCCTCCAAAGTTGCAATAAAATGAGATAAAGCCGCTGCTCAGGATGGAAATTAAATCAGGTGTTTTTCATCAGCTTCCTCCGGTGTGGAGAGGAACATGTTCTCCCTCATTACTCTCTCATGTGCTGGAATTAGACTCGCGTGTGCATTCATCATCACACGCGTGTTTATCTGAGCGTCTTGATTCGGTTCAACTAAAGCGGCTGATGCTGTTCCAGTGACTGAGTGTTTTCTGTGCACTATGTTGTGGAGCTTTACGAGACGCGGATCATTGAAACAAATGTGATTTGATTTGCTGCTGTGTGGTGTCTGTGGTCATGATGGGCTGTTATTCTAGAGGACATGGGGTTGCTGTGTGAACTCTCTAGCGCCTCCAGCTGTTCAGTTTCACAAACGTTTTAGTTTATTAAAATACATTTTTGTGTAAAATTATATTTTGAAGTCGCTCACAATCAACATCGTGAGTTTTGAAGGTGTTTTTTGAAGTAGTCAACTTGTTTGTGATGATTGTTGTTTGCCCAGCGAACTCTTTCCAGTTTTATTTTATTTTATTAGTATGTTTATATATATGTGTGTGTGTGTGTGTGTGTGAGAGAGAGAGAGAGTGTGTGTGTGTGTGTGTGAGAGAGAGTGTGTGTGTGTGTGTGTGCGAGAGAGAGAGAGAGAGAGTGTGTGTGTGTGTGTGAGAGAGAGAGAGAGAGAAAGAGAGTGTGTGTGTGTGTGAGAGAGAGTGTGTGTGTGTGTGTGTGCGAGAGAGAGAGAGAGAGAGTGTGTGTGTGTGTGTGAGAGAGAGAGAGAGAGAAAGAGAGTGTGTGTGTGTGTGAGAGAGAGTGTGTGTGTGTGTGTGTGCGAGAGAGAGAGAGAGAGAGTGTGTGTGTGTGTGTGAGAGAGAGAGAGAGAGAAAGAGAGTGTGTGTGTGTGTGAGAGAGAGTGTGTGTGTGTGTGTGTGCGAGAGAGAGAGAGAGAGAGTGTGTGTGTGTGTGTGAGAGAGAGAGAGAGAGAAAGAGAGTGTGTGTGTGTGTGAGAGAGAGTGTGTGTGTGTGTGTGTGCGAGAGAGAGAGAGAGAGAGTGTGTGTGTGTGTGTGAGAGAGAGAGAGAGAGAAAGAGAGTGTGTGTGTGTGTGAGAGAGAGTGTGTGTGTGTGTGTGTGCGAGAGAGAGAGAGAGAGAGTGTGTGTGTGTGTGTGAGAGAGAGAGAGAGAGAAAGAGAGTGTGTGTGTGTGTGAGAGAGAGTGTGTGTGTGTGTGTGTGCGAGAGAGAGAGAGAGAGAGTGTGTGTGTGTGTGTGAGAGAGAGAGAGAGAGAAAGAGAGTGTGTGTGTGTGTGAGAGAGAGTGTGTGTGTGTGTGTGTGCGAGAGAGAGAGAGAGAGAGTGTGTGTGTGTGTGTGAGAGAGAGAGAGAGAGAAAGAGAGTGTGTGTGTGTGTGAGAGAGAGTGTGTGTGTGTGTGTGTGCGAGAGAGAGAGAGAGAGAGTGTGTGTGTGTGTGTGTTTTTAATTTAATTTTATATTATTGTATTTTATTTGTAAGTTTATATTTATTTATTTTTTATATGTACAAATGTATATCTAAAAAATACTGGGATTCATGGAATTGCTGGAAGTTTATGGAAAGCAAATTTAAACCAATTTGTTTATATTTTATTTATAACAATTTGTATA